AAGTATTTTTTAACTTTTTAAAATTTCAAAATGATGTCTTTTAGAGTAACAACAGCAGATAGTGACCGAGTCTGAGGTCAGGGTGGGCTACAGCAGGAGGCGTTTAGATCAGAGAGCATTTCCCTGGTGTGAGGCTGGGGGGCGTGGGGACGCACCTGCCTTCTCCGCAGGACGTTTAGAGGAGGATTGGGGTTTCCTCTAAGAGAACCTCTGAGATCCTCCCCGCGGATGAGCGGGTGCAGCAGATACTACACCTGAGGAAAGGAGGGGATGGAGTTGGATCCTCAGGAAGCCCTGTTTAGGCTTCTGGCTCTGCTCTGCTCCCTGGAGACCCGGCGGACCAGGGACACCTCCAGACTCAGCCCGGTGCCTCCCACCCCACAGGCCAGGAAACCCTCACATTTGGAGTTCATGAGGTGGCTCTCTGGTGGTTATTAGTCACACCGTAACTTTCTATTTAATATTTTTTACTAACTAAGTGCTAGGCTTATTTGTTTGGATCTAGCTGCTGACAAATGCAAGTTAACCTGCAAATATAACAAGATTTTAAATCCCACCATTTTACAAAGCTTCTGCCTTCTCTACCTTTCCCAGCCCTGGACAAGCCCTGGTCACTCTCTGGTTAAGCCCTGGTCACACTCTGACTCTAGAGGCTGGAGTCTTCCTTCATCGTGTCAAGGCTCTGTCTCCTCCTCCGGCCCCTAGCAGCTCCTGGTGCCCTACTCTCTTTAGAGCAAGCTTTCTCAACCTCAGCACTACTGTGACATTTTAGACTGGAAACTCTTGTGGGAGACTGTCCTGTACATTGAGGATATTTAGCAACACCCTTACCACTATCCACTAGAGGCCAATAGCACCCACTTCCTTCCTCCCCAAGTTATGGCAACCTGACATGTGTTCAGATATTTTCAAAAGTCCCCATGGGGAACAAAATCAGCCTTTCTTGAAAACTATGTGCCTAACATTCTCACCAGCACTTACCCCACTGCATTAATGAGATCATTTTCCGACTGTGTGGAATTGCAGCAATTCCTCAGAGATGCTCTGGAGCCACTCAGAGAGCAAGCAGGAGGGAAAGGGGGTGGGGTGTGTGTGTGCCTCTCCTATTCTTCTACTTCAGCCAGAGCACTTTCACTTGTATCTGTTTTATAGAAAAACTTATTTGAAAACAGGGTTTTATTACTAGATAATGATACTTTTAAAAAATAAATATTTGAAGACCTTTGGTTTAAGGAATTGTGATTCTCATAATGCCCTTTAAAATACAAATATTTTACCTACTAACCCCAGTACATAATGGAATTGTTATCCTTTTACAGATTAGTGTAAATGAGTTTCTCTAGAGAGCTTGTTGATTTCTCATGCAAAGATCTCGAGAGCATGAAACACAGGCTTGCTAAATTTTGATGTGATAAAGTCTGGAAACACTGGATCATGGCACTGTGCCAAAGAGTGCAAGAATGAGGTGGATATCACATGGAAAGTTCTGGACAACCAGAGATTAGCCCATGAACAGTGAGCTAGTGAAAAGTGGCTGTGAAGTGCCAGCTAGTGAAGAGCTGGCAGAGAGAATGCACTAAAACTGGGCTTTGACAAATTCACAGTCTGGTCTAGAAGCTGATTTCAGTTTGGGGCTGTGTTTTGACAATTTCTGAATGGTTCTTTGAAGATGATATGGTTCCATTAGAAGATTAACTTAGGGATCTATTGATCTGACTTTTTAAAAAATCATCAAGGATAGTTCAGTTGTTCATAATACTTTTTTAATTTCAACATTACCCTCAGTCTTCTAACCTGCAAAGCTTAGTGCTGAGTAGATTTCTTTTTAAGTAAAACTTTCCAGGAGACTGAAAATGGATAGCATCAATTTTTATTAGTTAGTAAATCATGAATGACTGAAAAATTGTGCTGAACACTGGAATTTGACACAACATTGTAAAATGATTATAAATCAATAAAAAATGTTAAAAAAAAAAAAGAAAATCATGGGGAAGTACTTTATTACTGTATGAACAGAAAAACACAAATAGTATAGAGACATTGGGCCCAGAAGTTAGCAAGGATATAAATCTGTTTTATCCTGCCTACCCTAAATGTGCTACCAAGGCAATTAAGCTTTTCCTCCAAACTCTTGGGGGAAAACAGCAACAACAACAGTCCTTTAGAAAATAAGGCAGGTAA